TGATCTACAACAATTTCAAGATCATTGTCACTTGAAGTATTGTTGAGCCAAGTATTCCCCATCTTATAAGGATGCATTTGGCTTCTTTTTCCTAGGTTCAGAACTTGGCATTGAATTTCATTCTGTTGTTTTCAGTCCAGCATTCCAATGTATCAGGATCACCTTGAATCATCTTTCTGTCTTCCAGGGAATTAGCTATCCCACCCAGTTTTGTGTCATCTGCAAATCTCATCACAATTCCCTGTACTTCTTCATCTAATTAGTCTAATTGGAATAACTCTTTAAATAGTAGAGGGTGGGCAGCGTGTGACCAATCAGAAGTTGCATTAAGAAAAACCTTGAGAATTGTGCTTCAAACTGACTAGACTGGACATCATCAACAAAACAACTGTTCAGTGTCTACTAAACTTTCTGCTAAGAACAAATGTAATATCATCACCAAATTAGATATGCTAAAATCTAGGTTGAATCAATCCAGGATGAATATCAATGCTGAGAGCAATTGCTAACCAGCATCTTCACCTACAAGCTGCCTTGTCTAAACATGTAGTCAAACAGATGGCTATCATAGGAACCTTTAAGTGTATAAATGCCACGTTGTAAAGACTACCACCTTTGGAATATGACTGAGTTGGGCACAATTCAGACTCCAAGATTTCAAGGTCTTGGCTGACTTACTTAGCTACTCTGGAAATAGGCAGGTCTCCTTCTAGGACAAAGGCAGTTATAAAATTGCTTGCAGGGCTTCTATGGCTAAGAAGAATGGTACGGCTTTTTAAAGACAAGACAGGGTATTTGACAGAGTGGAAATGTTTTGTATAGAGTCCTAAAGGAAACTGGGAGAAAAATGCTGTCATGGAATATACCACAATAGCAATCCAAGCACATAAAAATTATTACTGAATTATACTGAATACCACAGCATTATCTTGCTGAAAGATAAATGGCAAAATAAATCTATAACACTTAATGTTAAAAAATGTTTTCTTTGGCAGCTATTCCTTCTTAGAAAGGTAATATGATGAGGGATGGATTAGCTTGTTTCATCTACACAAAGATGACAGTAACTACAACAGTTATGATTCCATGCAGTTCCCTTGCAATTGCTGTTTACATTACATTCATGAAAGCAATTTTAATGCTGGTCAGTGCTTATATACCACCAGGTACTCTCCTGCTATGGGAGACTGCCCAAACCTCACTCTGAAATATCCTCTGAGGGCAAGATAGGATATTGGATGGCTGTACCACTTTTCCTGCAGTGGAAGGCCCTACTTTTTTCTCTGTACTAGCAGTGGAGAGATGAATGGCTCTTCTGGCATTTGAGCAGTCAGTGGAGAAAAGTTTACCACACATCTGCATCTACTCCTGAAATGGAAACAGAGAAACAGAGCAAGCCAGAAAGGGCCTCCTGGGCCATCTAGTCTGACTGCCGACTCCAGCCGGCTCTGCTCATGACATGCCTACCATGTGCATGTCCAGGCTATCCTTGAACACCCTCACCAATGGGGCCTCTACAGTGTCCCATGGAAGCCCATTCCATATCCATGGGGTCCTAACTGTCAGAAAGTACTTCCTGGCATCCAAATTGAGCCTTGGTTCCTTGAGCTTTGCTCTGTTGGAGCATGTCCTGCCTTCCTCTGCAGAGAACAGGTCTCTACCTACCTCCGTGTGACATTCCCTCATGTTCCTATAGGAGTATGTTGCCAACAGATCCCCTCGAAGTCGCCTCCAGGCTGAAAAGACTCAGCTCCCTCATTCTCACTTCATACAGCTTTCCATGCAATCAAGCCACCATCCTCGTGGCCCTACGCTGCACTGACTAACCTGGCTATATCCTTCCTGTAATGTGGAGCCCAGAACTGAACATAATACTCCAGTTGTGGACACAGCAGAGTTGTATGGAGTGGCAGTAATACCTCTCTTGATCTAGAAGCCATGCTTTTGGCTCTGCAACAAAGGGTGCCATTTGCCCTCTTGACTGCTGCATCACACTGCTGACACATGTTTAGCCTCCAGGCAACCAGTACCACAAGTTCCCTTTCACATGTGCTGCTCTCCAGTCACTTGTCCCCTAACGTGTACTTATGACACACATTCCTATGCCCCAAGTGCAAGACCTTGCACTTACCTGCATTGAATGCCATCCTGTTGTCCCCTGTCCACTTCCATAGTATGTCCAGATCCTTCTGCATCTGGGGTACCTGCTTCTCAGTACCTACTCCTCAGTTGTGGTCACTGCCACCATTTTAGTATCATCTGCAAATTTGATCAGCAGACTGCTCACCTCTTCTTCAATGTCATTGATGAAAAGATTTGTCAAAGGCCTTGCTGAAATCCAGGTAAACCACATCCACCACATCCCCTCCATCTCACCACCTTGAAACCTTGTCATAGAATTCCACAAGGTTCATCTGGCAGGACCTGTTTTTGTGGAAGCCATGTTGCATGGCCACCAACCTCACTTCCCTATCCAGGATTACTAAATCTCTTGCTATTATAAGCCTTTCCATTGTCTTTTCTACAATGGATGTAAGGCTAACTGGTCTGTTATTTCCCATGTCCCCTCTACTACCCTTTTTGAGAATTGAGACCACCAACACCACCCTCCAGTTCTCTGGAACCTCACCTGTTCTACACGAAGCCTCAAAAATTTCCTACAGAGGTACCTCTGGCATCTAATCCCTCTTGCCACCTCCTTTTGCAACCACTCTCCTTTGCCTGCATACCTTACTAAGTAGCAGTATCGTCAAGGCTTGCACCTCCAAGACCTCCCTTTTGAATGCCATCCACCCCTCCTGAACTCCCTTGCCTTCCATTAATTTCTCCCAGGAGACTTTCTCCAGTCTGGCCTTAAGCTGCCCAAAGCTGGCCCTCTTGAAGTCCCAGCTTCTAGTCCTCGACCTGCTGCACATCCCCATTCCCCTGATCTCAAAACAAAGGATGGGGTGATCACTTGCATCCAGAGCTCCCCTAATCTAGACCCCATCTATCAGCTCCTACCTGTTGGTCAAGACTGATTCCAGGATATTTCAGTATCTCTAACACCATGGCCCCCAAACCCTGGTCCTCTCCCCTCAGTTGTTTAATCAGGACAAGTTTCTGAGGGGCCTGAACACAGATATGATCTCATCAAAGCTTTCCCCCCACTCCACACACACACACATTCAAGTACAGGTAGTCTTTCACTTATGACCATCCGGGTTACAAATGGCCCATATTCAACAAACATGCACAGTGTCATAAACTCTATATGAATATCTCTACAAAAAGTCAATTTCTATCTCTAGGGAACTGTGTGATGTGTTTGGTGACACGTCATCAGTGATTGCATAGTCCTTTAGAGATAGTAACAGCTTTTTTGTTTGTTTTTTGCATAGAGATTCCCTAGAGATATTTAAAGTTTTTATGTAGAGATAGTCATGGCTATCTCTAGGAAGTTATGCAATGTGCTTGGCAACATAGCATCAATGGCCAGTGGCCCTAGAGATACAGTATTGATGGTGTTTCATTCTGTGGCCTCGGCTCGAGTGTACCCAAGCCAAAGTGTTTTGGGGCACATGTTTGGAGAAGTTCACAAAGGTTTACAATGCCCTCAGCGTCTACAAGCCAATTTATTATGAGAAAAGAAAATTCTGTACAAGCAACCCTTGAGCCCTACTTCAGGAAAGGGTCTCCAGTGTAAACCTCCCCCCACCACCAACCACACAAGCAAATCCTGATTCTCCACCACCAGGTCCTCTCCATCATTATCAGTTAATGTCAGGCTTAATGTTACCTCATTGATATTCTAAACTGTTTTAAGGATTGATTGATTGTACTGTGTATCTACGGTGCTTGTAGTTACTTTATTATTACTGCATAATTATCATTATTACAATGCTGTACTGTGTTTAAGAAATTTTAGAGAATATGGTAGTGTTTCTTAAGTATTTTATTTGCATAGAAAGGTAAAATATACACATCTACTAAAATGAACATTTGGCTTACTCATATGATTCAACTTAAGGACGTTCTCAGGAACAGAACTCATTCTTAACCCAGGGACTACTTGTATTCACATTGGAAACATAGAAACAGAGTGAATCAGAAGGGGTCTCCTGGGCCATCTAGTCTGACCCCCAGCTCCAGCCGGCTCCACTCATGACATGCCTCCCATGTGCATGTCTAGCCTATCCTTGAACACCCTCACTGATGGGGCCTCAAGGGCTGTTCACAGCCTTGCTGCACCTTTTCACAGGTCCATTCTTCTCTAGCTAGAGGACTGTGAGAAATTCTGTGAGCTTTGTAGTGTTCACACAAAGGTAACAGCATGTTTGGGACAGGAGAATAGTAATAGTTTCCCTATGCATTGTCACTGGGAACCACACTATGTTGAACCATTTTTGAGGAGATTTCTAATGTTGCTGACTGCTGCAGTTTAATATAAATGTATGTTAATGCTGTATGAATGCATATAGCTATTTGGCTGTCTTGTGACATTGTAAGTAATCCCTGCCTTCAACTTCTCCTTGCTTTGAAATTTATCACTCTCTTGGGTTTAAAGAACCCACATGAAAGATGTATTTCAGAAAATGGATGATAAACAAATGTTTATGTTTTTCTTACCATGAACAGTTCCCTTAAACGTCATATACTTTGTACAGATGTTATAAAAGTACTATCAATCCATGAGTATCACATGGTTGATAGAATACCTTACTTAGTCTTCACTAAATAGTGTTCCAAAGTGCAATATATATGAGGTTACAATCACAAGCCTAAGCCTGTCTACTCAGAAGTAACTCCCACTGAATTCAGTAGGTTTTACTTCCAGGTAAGTCTATATAAAATCAGTGCCTAAGATGTCTTCATCATGGATTCTAATGGAAGTGAGATTAGAAAGGTTTGTTTGGTGTTTTTTCCCCCTTTTTCTACATGACAGGTGCTGAACTCACAGCACTGGAAATTGAAGTCCTCTATTTTTCCACAGGGCTGGCATAGCATGGGCGGTGGCAGCCATGCAAGCTTCCCCACACTGCCATGCCAATGTGTCTCAACCCTCTTCTGAAGAAAGCACTTCTGGAGGTGAGTGGGAAGATCAGTCTCTATTTCAGTTCAATCACTGGCCTGTATGCCAGTGGCTATTAAATCTCCCAGGTGTCCATTACCAAGTTAGCTGAGCACCCCTTGTTTTGTGTGAGACACATAAATGGCTTGCATCATCATCACACCTTTTATACTCTTGTGAGGAACCCATGCTGACTCCTTCTCCTCCTCTTCCTCCTATCAATATTAATGTTATAACATCCCTGCAAAATAGGTTAGGTAGGGAGTGAATGACACGCCCAAAGTCTCCCAGTGAGCTTCAGGGTTGAGTAGGGACAAGAAACCCAGATCCCCTGAGTTCCAGTCCTGTATTCTAACAACTGTACAGCTCCCTCATCACTAACTCCCAGAAGACTCTCATGCCAGCTGCTGGTGCTGGAGGGGATTCATCCTGACATGACAGTTTTCAGTCTATGAATCTCTTATAATTAGTAAAATAGCTATTTCTTGAATGAACTTTGACAGTGTTTTTAAAAGGTGAAGACAGGACTTAACACAGCAAGCTGCACATGGGGTTTCTTAATGAACTTCATCGGGGTAGATCTATAAAGAGCAACATTAGAATAAACTGTATATTGCTGCACTCAGACGCACACTGATCTCCTTCAATGTATAATTCGTAATGATTAAAACACAGTAAAAGAACAACAAAAACCTTGAAACACAGAAGGGAGAACTATTACTGCTACCTTTGCTTCAAAGAACATCCTTCTTCCTTCCAGAATGGCCTGCGATTCAGTTCCATACTCCAGAGTAGGCGCACCAGAGTCATATAAAGTGCTAGTAATACCTCTCTCGATCTAGAAGCCATGCTTCTGGCTATGCAACCAAGGATGGTGTTTGCCTTCTTGACTGCTACATCACACTGCTGACTCATGTTTAGCCTGCAGTCATCCAGTATCCCAAGATCCCTTTCATGAGTGTTGCTCTCCAGCCCCTTGTCCACTAACCTGTACTTATGACACCCACCCACAACTGGAGTACTGTGTTCAGTTCTGGACTCCATATTACAGGAAGGATATAGCCACGTTAGAGTCAGTGCAGCGTAGGGCAACAAGGATGGTGGCTGGATTGCAGGGAAACCTGTATGAGGGGAGAGTGAGGGGCATGGGTCTTTTCAGCCTGGAGGCGAATTCGAGTGGATCTGTTGGCGACATACTCCTATAGGAACATGAGGGAATGTCACACAGTGGTAGGTAGAGACCTGTTCTCCTCTGCAGAGGAAGGCAGGACACGCTCCAACGGAGCAAAGCTCAGGGAACCAAGGTTCAATTTGGATGCCAGGAAGTACTTCCTGACAGTTAGGACCCCAAGGGTGTGGAATGGGCTTCCACAGGAGGTGGTTGAGGCCCCATCGGTGAAGGTGTTCAAGGATAGGCTAGACATGCACATGGTAGGCATGTCATGAGTGGAGCCGGCTGGAGCTGGGGGTCAGACTAGATCAGGGGTCTCAAACTCGCAGCCCACAGGCCAATTGCCGGGACGGGCGGGGCATGGGGGAGGGGCCCTGCGGCCTTCAAAGCGCTGGCGGTGCCCAGGCCGGCCTCCGGGAGCGACGCGGGATGAGAGGCCACCACCACCGTGGTGGTGGAATACTTGATGCGGCCCAGCCTCACCCAGACTCTACTTCCAGCAGCCCCCAGGTAAGTTGAGTTTGAGACCCCTGGACTAGATGGTCTGGGAGACCCATCTAACTCACTCAGTTTCTATGTTTCTAATCTGTGACCCCAAATCCCTGGCCTCATCCGATCCCTCATGTGAATCTCCCCCATCCTACTTTGGGGAGAACACAGAGGCAAAACAGTCATTTAGCATCTGTGTCTGTTCCCTCATATCAGTCATCAAATTCCCTTCTTCCTTATTAAGCGGTCCCACCCTTTCCCCCCTTCCTCTGGCCATTTACATGTTGATAGAGGCCCTTTTTGTTGCTCTTGATTTTCTTTGCAAGTCTCAACTCATAATAAGCCTTAGCCTTGCAAAGAATCCTGCAATGGGCCTCTTCCACCTGGTATACCCTTTGGTGTATTTGCCCCAGTGCCCATTTTCTACAGAGGTTCCTCTGGCGTCTAATCCCTCTTGCCACCTCCTTTTGCATTCACTCTCCTTTGCCTACTCGCCTTACTAACTAGTGTATCGTCAAGGCTTGTGCCTCCAAGATCTCCCTTTTGAGTGCCATCCACCCCTCCTGAACTCCCTTGCCTTTCAGTAACCTATCCCAGGATACTTTCCCCAGTCTGGCCTTCAATTGGCCAGAGTTGGCCCTCTTGAAGTCCCAGCTTCTAGTACTCAACCTGCTGCTTCTCGTCATTCCCCTGATCTCAAAGTAAAGGATGGAGTGACCACTCGCATCCAGAACTCCCCTAAGCTGCACCCCATCTATCAGCCTCTCCCTGTTGGTCAAGACCAAGTCAAAGATATCCCCCCCGCCCCTGGTCACCTCCTTGACCATCTTTGTGAAAAACCCTCCCTCTATAACATCTAGGAAGCGACATGACCTGGCTGTCGCCACTGAGTGAGACTCCCAACTAATATCCAGGAGATTGAAATCTCCTATAATTACTGTGTCCCTCCCCCAAGTTATCCTTCAAATCTGGTCTGTCAGGACATAATCCAGGGTCTCAAGTTGACCTGGAGGGGGATAACATACCCCCACTGTCAGGTCCCTTTCCTTGCCAAAACTCCTTAGTTTCACCCAGACTGCCTCTACCAGAACCCCATCTATGCCACATTCTATCTCATTGCACCCTATCCCCTCCATGACATATGCTACATCTTGTTCCCTCTTTTTCTTCCTGTCCTTTCTGAACAGGTCATACCCCTCTATGTTTACATTCCAGTCATGCTTTTCATCCCACCAAGTTTTTGTGATCCCCACCAGGTCATGCACTCCTATTCCCAGGAGAGCCTCAAGCTCTTCCTGCTTATTACCTATCCTCCTAGCATTGGTATGCATGCATCTCAGCACCTTCCTACAAAATCTCTTTCTTTGGGTTCCCTGGCCTCCTCCTTCCTCCCAGCTTCCCTGATATCGGCACCCTCTTTGTAGGAGTCCCACCAGCCCCTGCAATACATCTCACAGCCTGGAACCAAAAACCTGGTCCTCTCCCCTCACTTGTCCATGAGGACAATTTTGGGGGGACTATACCCCCCTTGGTTCAGTTTAAAGCCTTCTGGATGAAGCTCGCTGGAGCACGTCCGAATGACCTTTCCCCATCCTCGTGAGGTGCACCCTGTCCCTCGACAGAAGCCCCTTGGCAAGAAACCGGGTGCTGTGGTTGAGTTACCCAAAACATTCCTTCTGACACCACACCCTGAACCAGCCATTCACCTCTGCAATCCTCTTTTCCCTGGCTGGCCCAAAACCCCAGATAGGCAAGATAGAGGAAAAGGCCACTTGGAGTTTTGGGCTCTGAGTTCCTTGCCCAGAGCTTCAAAGTTCCTCTTGATCCCACCCACCCACTGCCTGGTCATGTCATTCATCCCCACGTGGATCACCAGAAACAGCTGGTGACCCTCTCAAGGGAAGAGGAAACTCTACTCTGTCTGTCATACTCTGGATGCGTGCACCCAGCGGGCAACAGACTTCCCTTGCCCCGAGGTCAGGGCGGCACACCGCTGCCTCAGTGCACCTTAGCAGGGAGTCCCCAACGAAGATCAACAACTTCCTGGTGGCAGTAGATAGTCATGCCTTGACCCTTGCCTCATCTGCAGTGGCCCCCTGGCTGCATCAGGCCCCAGGCTGGGGATCCTGAACAAGTCGGTCCCCCATGTCCTCATCAGCCCCAGACTCCCCAAGTGGAGAAAACCTGTTTCCCAGCTCCAGATCTGTGCCAAGAGACTTGCCTCCATGTCTCCCCAAGTGTTTCTTGCTCAGCCCCTCCCTCAACTTTCTGTCCAGAGGGAGGCTGCTCCTGAGTGGCCTGGAAAGCTCTCTCCGTCCTCATGCTCCTTACTTCCTCCTTTAGGAGGACACCAGCTTGCACTTAGGGCAAGTGTATCCCTGCCTCTCCTGAGGGAGAAGGGCAAACATGTCACAGCTGTTGCATTGGATAGCAACACATATGATTCCAGCCAGGGCCATCTCCTGGCCTGACGCAGGGCACCCCTTGCAGGCCCTGCCTTCTTCTCTTGCCTTGTCTATCCTACACTACCCTTCTCTGACTTTACACACCTAGTTCTTCCAGACAAAACAAACAAACCAACAAAAACCTGACAATTGAAAAAAAATAAAAATTACTGAAAAAAAAAAAAAAACCCAGGAGAAGAGAGTCCCCGGGCAGCCCAGGCTGCAGCTAAGGATGCAGACGCACCATTGGTGCCACACCAATGGCAGCACAGGGCCTCAAATAGGTCTCACTGCCAGCCGGCAGCTTGCCCCACCTACCTCATGCCTCTCCCACATGTGCCAGGCTTGCTAGACCTCCCCTGCCCTGCAGCCCAGCCCTTACCTCCTTCCCAGGGCCCTCATCGCCCATGTGTGCACACCCTTCCCAGTTTCTTCATGCTGCTCTGCTCTGCTGCTGGTGGCGTGGCTCCCTCTCTCCAGGCCCAAGACTCAAAAGGAGCTTGCAGCGGCGGCACAGGGCCTCAAATCAGCCTTACTGCCAGCCATATCTAAGATTCATCTCAATTAACAGTGGTGGAAATTCTGAGTTAAGTGGATAAACACATGTTAGTATATAGTTCCTTTGTGTTTAATATTTGCTATTTTTATAATAATTTAAATTTAATTTTAGAGGGGTGTTGGTAAAGGTGAAATACTGAAGTATTTCCTATGAAAATTTTTATGGACTCTTAAAAGTATTTTATTTTTTCTCTTTATTTATTTGGAATTTTAAACATATTTAATTTGTCCCTTTAATATGATTTTTTGACTCATTCAATAACCATACACTGGATAAGACAGGGAAATATGAAGCTATGAAATCTGTCATAAAATCTTGCCATTTGACAGCTATCAAAGGGTTGATCACTAAGCCTGACCAGTTT